AAGTGAGGGAGCGCCGTGGGTCCTGCTCAGCGACGTGCCGGCCTGTCCCAGGTGCAGCAGCACTAACTCCTGTTACAAACAGAAATAATTTCTGTCTCACGGGTGCGTTTCTTTCCTCTTCCCCCCCGCCTCAGGAGAAGCAGCAATGTAATCTGTTAAATGCCAGCGCTGCGTCCTGATGTCATCGTGGAAACTGCGCTGTTCAGCGAGGCGCTGAGCAAGAGCCCTCTTGACATTCATAATTTGTTTTATTCAGAGCGTCATCCCAGCTCCGGTTTCTGTTGCTGCCCAAAGCCTAGCAGTGTTCCCTGCAACACGACTCGTTTGTACCACAGTAGTTGGTAGCCTTCATCTGGGCTCTGACGACAACACGTGACCTGTGTAAAAATGCTCCGATATTGGGGTGAGATACCGGTTTCATCTAACCAGGCCAACCGCAGCTCCTTTGACCTGCTTCAGCGTGAGTTTCGTACGGTGGAAGTCCAAGATCCTCCGTTGCATCAGCCATCTGCAAACAAACCCCGGCCGACCACCATGTTGGACATCCCCTCAGAGCCCTGCAGCCTCACAATTCACACCATTCAGCTCATCCAACACAACAGGCGGCTGCGCAGCCTGATCGCCATGGCTCAGGCTCAAAACCAGCAGCAAGCCGAGGGCATAAAAACTGAAGACAACGAACCCCTGCCATCTTGTCCGGCCTCTCCACCTCTCCCTGATGACCTGCTTCCTCTGGATAGCAAAACCCCCAAAATGCCGTTTCAGCTGAGGCACAGTGACCCAGAGAGTGATTTCTACAGGTGTGTTGGTATTTCTTTGGGTTAGTTCTTGGCTGAAGGAAAGCTGAGTGTTTTTAAATATATATTTAGTTATGTTGATTCCCTTAGGTTGAAGGGTCAAACAGTTGTATGTAAAGTATAAGACAGGCTTCGAAAAGGAAAGACTTAGATTTCTCCTGTGTGGATAACATGCACCTTGTTTAAAATGTGATTTTGTTTCTTGTCTATAAAATGTGGATGTGTAATGCTGATTTCTGTCTTGTTCGTACTATGCTGAATGTTTGTGAATGGTTTTGGTATCTTCAACAGTATTTTGACAAGTTTAGTTACAAGATGTGAAGTCTCTTCTATTTAGGTCACTTACTTGCAACTAAACTTATTTTAACTGAAAATCCAGAAGATGCATGACTAGGTTTTGGCTGTTCAGTTGAAGGTTCTGAAAAGATGATTTGATAACATATTTGTAAGACATCAGTGGCCAAGGACCTGTGACATAATAACTATCACATTACACCCTGTCTGTTGATGTTATTCTGGTCAGAGGTAGAGATGAGTATAGGTGAAGGGAATTTTTGTCTCTGATACTGGGCTCCACTCACCAAAGGCTGGAGAAGATGTTAAGGAAGGCTGCATTGCTTCTACCTCCGCAGCCAATCTTTGATTAAACAGTATTGCCACCACCTCCTGTCTCCCCCTCTGACAAACCCCCCGTGGCAGGGCGGTTGAAACTAGATGATCTTCGAGGTCCCTTCCAACCCAAACCATTCTATGATTCTGTGAAACACTAAATTCACGAGGAGGTGTTGCATTTCTTGCAGGATCTCATGATACTTTGTAGGTTATGTGCATTTCAATTCAGGGATTAATCCTCACTACTATAGCTTTCTGTTTTTAGATTAAAGACTGTGCACCAATGAACATAATGTGGGAGAGGATAATACATTTTAGTTTTTAAAATCAGGAGAATATGCATTAATAAAATACACTGTATCAGTTAAATGCCACAGAGATCTTTAATGGCCTGAAGTTGTATAAAACGCGTTTTTTTGAAAGATGTTGCTTTTGGGAAGTCTCTCTGAACAGTAGAGTGATTCTTTAGTGCTGTTTGTGGAAGAACACTGTCATCCTTCTTGGAAGAAATAAAGTAATCAGCCTAGAGAAGGGTGAAGGGAAATCCAGTCCTGTGAGGATAAAGTCTGAGCCCGGTGACTCCTGCTCTTTCTGCCCCTGTGGTTTGTAGACCTGAGCAGTGTTCTGCTCTGTCCTCCCTGGTGGCGTCAGCAATAAGTTCAGTTTTCTGTGGCTCTGTCCGTGTTTTCGGGGCTGCTTTGTCTTTTTGTTGTCCCTTGTGAGTTTCTGGGGTCAGAGAAGAGGAATGTTATTTAGCAGTCAGCCACGTGGGGGAGTTTAAGGATTAGGTTGTAAAAACTGGATAGACAATTTTGAAATGAAATGTTTTGTGGCTGATAGAGGATTTATAATGAACTACAGCGTAGACTATAATTTGCTTGCTAAACCAAACACATTTATGCTTTTGCAGGAAGGAAGCTTTGAATTTGTTGTTGCATGTTTGTTCTTAACTGCTCTAAGACATGAATTAAGAATAGCAGCTGCTGTTATAATAGTAAAAATAAAGTTATATGATTTGCCAACGCATGTTCTTGGTATGTAAAACGATTTAAGGAAAACCATTCTTCCTTTTGATAAAACATGGTAGTACTTAATTGTATGCTGCCTTCTGAAGTGCCATTGTCAGAATTAAAGTATTCAACTAAATGCATATTTTAATTCCTTTTTCTTTGGCATAACCTGGGTCTGAGAAGCAGTGTATAAGTATATTTAGATGTAGAAAGAAAGGAAGATAAGAGCTACCAGCCTGAATCAGACCACAAGTTTTTTTATTATAGTCATGTCCTTTTCTATTTCCTTGTTACTGATTTTCATCCTGTGACCCCACACACTTGTCTTTTATTTTGTGATTCCCTAGATTAATTTTGGTTTTCCTCCCCTCTGCCTCACCCCATACCTGTAACACCCATCTCCTCATCCCTTTTGAGATGAGGAAGAGGCAGAACCTAATTTACTGCTATTTTTCAGTTGTTTTGGTCTTTTTAACCCCCCAAAATCTGTACCATGAGGAATTTTAATTGTGATGCTATTCCTCTCCTCCATTTTTCCAGACTGTTTATAAATGTGTTGAAACAAACCTTGATTCTGGTACAGATCCTCGAGGGAAAACTTGGGCTCCACAGTGGACATCTCGTATGTACTTGCTTGTTGGTGGATTTGGAGGACTGTAGTAGGTTTGTAAAGCAGGTTTTCCGTTTACAAAAGCTGTCTGGACTTTCTGAGTGTATCACATTTGCCCATGTGTCCTCTAATTCTGTTCTTATCATTTCTTTGAATTTTCCTGATGCACCAGAATATATCACGCTTCCCTGGCTGCAGTTCTTCACGTCTTTTCTGAAGCTGAAAAAAATGTTTTCATGTTTTCTGTCTTCTGGTCCTCATGGGCCAAGGCAGTTTAAAGCAACAGGTGACTCATCACAGCTATTCAACTATTTCATCCTTGAGTTCCGTTAGTATTCCTGGATGAATTACCATCTGGTCCTGGTGATTTACAACTGTTGATGTTACAGTTCTTGGACTAGACAATAAGGGATTAAAATTTGGTTTTGGTTGGTATAGAAACAGAAGGTAAGCTTAAAGAGTAGTCGATGAAGAATAAGTAAGGAACTGTAGACTTGAAACTGCTGCTAGCTTTTACTTCTTCTCTGTTCAGCCTCCAATTAGCATGGATCCGTCTTCAAAAGAAACCTAACCTACTCATTATGTGCCTCTTCAGATGCTTTTTCTTGTGTGTGCATGGTTGGTTTCTTAACAGATTTCTCTGCCATTCTCTCATTTGTGTTGCTGACCACATCGGATGTATGCTTTGCATTGAAAGATAATCTGTGAACAAAATTGAGAGCTTGCAATGGGAAGACAGTTCATGGCAGAAGGGCTTGTAGTTAAGAAATGTCTGTACAGAAGTAAGGAAGCACATGTTGGTGGGATAGCAGGTTGAATGTTGGGAAGGGTTTGGAGCAGTGGAAATTAGAGCAGGCAGAATGTAGTTTCCCTGCTGCACTAAGCGCTTTGGCTTAACCCCTTAAACTGATCTTCTGGGTTGGGCCACTGGGACCTGATTTATTTTCCAAATGTTATCTTTTACGTCTTGCCATTATCTATTGAGCAGCTTCTTTTTGTACCTGTGCAGCCTTCTGTAGACATAGCAGAGATATTTAGAAAGAGGCTTACACGGGATGAGGTGGAAAGAGGCCCTCTTCCACAAGGAAACAACTTTCTGGTTTGAGTTAGTGTGCTTTGTTCTTTGATGTACTGAGTAGTATAATCTTGTTTTTCCAATGTTCTCCTTTATTTTACTGGTTTGGGGGAAATGGCTGTGAAGCGACCTTGTTGCACCTCATTTGGTAGAAATTCAACTCCACGATGTAATGTTTCATAAAATTGATGTTTTCATAGGAAAAACAATCCCTCCCTCCATCTGCTGCTAGCTTATGCTCACCTAGGAGGGAGCAGAGCTCTTCAATCCGTTACTGCAGTTCAGTGAGCCTTGGCTCTCGATCCTTGTACTGACTTAGCCCAAACACTATCCTTTGAATATAGTTGCACGGGAGATGAACCACGAGATCTCCTTCCTTCTAAGAAAAGCAGCCTTACAGGAGAGGAGCTTGGGTAAATGGATTGTGGTGCCGTTGGGGAACATCTTGTTGACACAGAAGATGGACCTTTTCTGAGTTCTGAAACGTTATTAATCCTGAAAATGAGCCTAATTGGTATAAACAGAAACTTTTTTTTCTGTTGTGAAGTTCTGCATGTTGCAGGTTTGCTGGCAGCAGTGGGAGAAGATTGGGGTTTCGGTCTGATGAGTTCGTGGCTTGGCAGGTAGATTTCTGTCTGGAACGTCGTCTAGTGTTGGTGACCCATATATAAAAATATAGATCCTATTGGAAATACAAAATTGAAGAGCAACAAGTTGGCCAGTATTTTGATAAATTTCGTACTATATCTTCTGTAGAGATGATCACCTCCAAGTCACAGGCCTGATTGCCAGTTTTGTTAATCTCTGATAAAAGAATTTTAGGGATGAAAGAATTTTAGGGATTAAAGTGCTCTTGTTTACTTGCAGCTGTATGAGCCTGGTAATATGTTAAATAGGCTTGGCTTTGAATGGTAGCTGGATGGGGAGCCTTTCAGGAAAGCAGTAAGTGCTGCAGAGGGTGGCATTCTGCATAGTGATAGTATCTGGAAGGGTGCTTCTGTAGGTGCTAGGTGTCTGGATGAGATTGAAGACCAAGGCTCTTTACTTGTGATCATCAGGGAAAATAAGTTCGCTGCTCCTTTTTGGGAAGGCTTGACATCAGATAGCTGCTTTCAACTTGTGTCATGTGTCTGTATGGCTGCTTTTGTTTATGTGCATTCTTATCAGACAGTATCTGAAGGTTAAAGGTGAAGGAAAAAAAAAGATATTTTCTCATTTGTTGTTTTCCATTAACATCTACAACAATATTTCAATTTTTGCTGTGTAATCAGGCTTTTAATCATCTTCTATTGTTTATTGTGGGAAACAGGAAAACAAGAGAAGAAAACATAAGAAAACCAAAACATAATTGACTGACCTTACCAAGAACAAGAGGTGGGGATTTGGATTTGAGTACAGTACCTGAAATTTCTTTTCTCTCTTTAATTGATTTTTAATTTAGATTTTGAGTTGATTATACCCCTTTCAGCATAGTGACCTAACTGCATTTTAATGCTGGCAATTAGTTTCTTTTCCTCTAGGAGTTTAAAAGAGATGTAGCATTCTCTGCTACTTCTGAGCAGTGGTATGCATTGCTAAGTGTTTCTTGTGCTCTACAAATGGCTGAATATCCTGCTTGGGCTTGCCAAATTCTGTGTCTAGTTTAAGTTTGTCCATAGTGTTTTGATTGAATGGCAGAGTGTCAATAATGGCTCTTTGTCTCTGTATTAATAGTAGTCTGGTGTTCATTGTTTCTCAGCTGATGGCTGCTGGACAGCTAGGGATGTCCTTTATATGTGCTTAAAAAAAAAAAAGAGATTCTTTTTTATAGGCATAAATTTTGATGGTTGTTTTCTGATTTTTTTAATTTTTTTTTTAATGTTGTGACCTTCTGGTCCCAGTGTTGTATGAGACATATGGCTGTTTGTGAACTTCAGAAATCTGTTGCTGGGAGGTGGAGGGAGGAGTGAGGGAGATTTAAAAAAAAAAAAAACAGTATGGGTGACACTTGGTTTATAAGGGAACTGATGATCTTTTAATTCATCTTGTCAGAGCGCCTGCTGTCTTCTTTACAAAGTAATTACATAATTGAGTAGGAATTGGGATGTGAGTCATTTTCCAGCAATTAATAACTGGGATGAATCCATGACCTGAGATCCACATGCTGTTCTTAATATCCACTTAGAAATATCATCATCTGTAGCTCTTAATACAGTGTGATCCCCTCCTTTATTTGAATAATCAGAAAGTGCTGAGCTGGTGTTCTTGAAAATGAACGATTTTGGTCCTGATAGCTCTAAGTTTAACCTTTCATTTTCCCTCCCCTGAATTGTTACCTTTTTTACTGCTGTGTTTCAGTGGTTTTCTATGGGTCAGTTCTGAGGATCAGAGGGAGCTGAGGCTCTGTGACCCAGCATCTCACCCGGACTGAAGGGTACCTAATGTACTCATCAGAGAAACAAGAGTAGCGAGGATTTTATCAAGGCATTAATGCTGTCTGTGTACTGTTTAATCGGGTCTTGT